GACCAGTGCCTGAGAAGCAAATTCAGAACGACATTGGATATCTTCACCCCAGCTGGAGACAAAATATGGACAAAGAAACACAATTTCCCGAGGATCAAGCATCCAGAGCTGCCTCGAGGAGCTTTCCGAAGTTGGGCGATCCAAGACCTGTTACAGGATCCCATCCTGCCGTAGCATTCCAGCTGGCGAATGGTACAACGGGACTGCCGTTGGGCGTGCCGCCGAACCGATTGCGTCCGTCACAACCCAAACTGCCTCCCTGAGTGATATCATTGAAACCCTCTCCCTCCACGGCAGCGCTGTAGAGCCATGGGTTCAAGAAGCCGAGGACGGGTGATCCCGCCCGCAGTCTGGCATCGTTCAAGAGAGCAACAAGGCCGGCAAAGGTGGGTGCAGAACAACTGGTGCCGTCAAACTGCCCAAGGAAGCCCTTGTCGTAAACAGCATAGTTGGTACCCTGGGTGGCGACGTCGGGGAAAGCGCGACCCGATCCGTTGAAGAAGCCAGCAAACTTGGGTCCCAGGTTGGTGAGGTAGCTGTTCACTGCTTCAGATTGGTAGGAGGGTTGAGCCCAGTAGTCGGAGAAGCCGCCAGACGAGAAGTAGACAGCCTTCTCGGGGGAAGTCAGCGTAGTGGCTCCGACCGAGGTGACCCAGGGGCAGGCCGCGGGGAATTGAGGGGGGAAGTGCGTGCGGTTAGTGCCGTCGTTCGTCAGGCAGGCAGCTCCGACACCCGAGTCGCCGGAAGAGAAGATCACGGAGACGCCACGGCTACCGAGCTGGGCGATGAGGTTACAGACGGTCAAGGCGTATGACTTGGGTATGGTCTATGGTAAAAGTTAACGTCGGGCTAGGTCAAACCACAAGAAGTGGAGGAATGCGCAAATTGTGACCCGTAGGAGTACACAGGATCAGGAGTTCGCACCTGCTCATCTTCGCCATATGAGGTCGAGATGACCTGAGGAAGCTCGGCGTCGGAGAGTTTGAGAACATTTTGGAAAAATTCCAGGTACGGCTCGTTGCTGTTGTCGTTCGGGTCGGGCGAGCTAAGATCCGGAACAAGCTGGCCTCGGCCGCCGGTGCTGTACTCAGTCACGGGGAGAGGAGAGCTCATGCCAACGATGTATTGCAGGTCGAGGTTGGCTTCACCGCTGTCCTTGGTGGACTTCTGGTCGTCCAGGCCGCCATTGAATTTGACCACGGTGAAGTTCTGGCCAACCGCGGAGGGAGCAAGTTTCTGTTCGAACTTGGCGAGATCGTCGTACCGAGCATACTCTTCGAGATAGCTCGCGAATGCGACCTTACTGCCAGACTTAGCATCGGCCTGGTAGTCTCCCACGTTGTATAGGTCCTTGAGGCAGTGAGGTGTGATCACCGAATCACATTGCGAGGTGTTCTGAGCGCGCACGGCGGACGCCAGGGATTGCTCGTCCACGTGCTTGGGCTTGCTACGCATGGTGGCCCTGTTGGGCTTGAGTTGGCCAAAGCGAGTGGTCGGTTGAATCATGTTCACATGGGGGGCCACTGAGTCAGGGATGGAGTAGGCCAGGGTGCGCAGTCGTCGGATGTCCGTGTTCTCGTTGACATACCATTTGAATTCGGCGTGGAGTAGGGAATTAGCGTCGGCCACAGTAGTGCGGAACTTGATCCAATCGGCATCCTGCTCGATGTCGCTAACTCCCGCCGACTCAAGCCAGTCCCGAACTGATGAGACGGCTTCGTCGGTAGGCATAAGCATGCGCTTCATCTCATCGTGGGTGCGGAAATGTCTTCCATAGTTGGCGTGTCCGGGTGTAGACATGTCCAAGAGTGCCTGCTCAAACCCAGCCAGATCGTGCTGCGAGAGAGCAATCTGAAGGCGCAGAGGTTCATGCCCGCTGGGGGTTCCAGAAAACTTCCAGCCTATAAATTCATCATGAGTTTGAGATCGACCGATGAAAGCCTTGCACTCCCTGCTTGCCGCGTCCATACCGGGGGAGGGGAGTCGCTTACCCTGGGGAACTCCAGCTAGTTTCTCGAAGACCTCGGCTGCTCCGAGAGACGGAAGCAGCGCAAGGGCTGCGAGTGATAGAGCCGCGCCATTGCTCAGTAGCGAGGGCAGCATAGTGAAGAGTAGGGGAAGGATTAACGAAGGCGGGTCCAGGTGAAATCAACAGGGAAGGGAGGTAGATGAGGTGTATTTATTTGACAGCCAGTTGTGCAACGGAGCGGAGAGGAGCTGCATCTCGCGTGATAGCCTCGGAGAGAGGGGGAATGTCTGGGGCCCTTCTACCAGTCGGGATGCAATTGAGTCCAGTGATGCCTGGATGTGCATGCCGATTTCCCCCGTTTGGGAAGGTGATTGGCTCCGCCCGGTGGATCTGATGGTCAATCGAAGCATGTTTTGGGGACGGACACCGTCGGACAGGCGAAGCGAGGACTCAGAAAAGAAGAGAGACAAGTCAAAGCTTAAGGCTTGGGAGGTCTTGGGAGGTCTTGGGGGAAAAGTGGTTGGGAGGATTTTGGGGAAGATCGTCAGGGAGGAAAGCCAGGAATGAACGCTGATTTGTTTGTTTGTTTGTTTCCACCAGACTTGCCAAGCCTCAGGCACCCACCATCCCCCTCCGCTCCCCCCCTTCTGTTCCACTCTCCAATGTAACCTTATGATATGAGTGATTAATGAAAACAGCAGACTGAGGATAAAGAGGGGGGGTACCAGGTGAGGGGCCGTCCCTCGGAGGATAATAGCAGCCACCGCTGCCGAACAAACGAGGCTGGACGAAGAATTGCCGGTTGAACGACTCATGAGTAACTGCTCGGCTGTAAATGCTGCCAAGAGATTTATATTTGGGAATTGCGAATGGCAATCGGGGATCTACAAACTCCACCACCGTCAGGGGATGGAGATCTCGCATCAGGCAGTCTTTCAAATGCAGGTGCTGCTACCATCTGAAGCTTCACAATCAAGAGGTCATCACAAATCAATGCTGCCAATACAATATACACAACAGCCAAGCCATTATTGTAATCAAGCTGACTGAGATGATGTCAATTTCAAGGTTGGCCCTGGAAAGTGCAGCAAGGGGCACGCGGGGAGAACAAAGGGATGGAATTCTGAACACGAGGGATGATACTGACCCAGATAAAGTCCTTTGTTGACATTGCTAGCGCCAGGTACAGTTTTGTACACTCTGTCAGTTTTGGACCTCCATCCGATCACGAGATCTATGGACTCTACGTGATTGTTTCGCTAGACAAGGCCACAGTTGCCCGGAAATAATTACCCCCCAATGTCCATGCGGTAATTGACTTGCCATGACAGAAACAGATCCTATGCAGGATATCAATAATTGAGGCGCGTTGCCTGAGGACCCAGCCTCAAGCCTCATTTCGGCTGCCCCGGCCAAGTAGCTTTCCCCCTTATCTCATTGTTTTCGACGCCCCTCTTCTGACCTCTTCCCAAGGACTGCGTGTACCTCCGCTAACTTGTTCTCGAGCTCCTCTAGATGAGCCTCACGATCACCGGGCCTGTGATGAAGCGGAAGGTATGGATCCTCGGAAGCCGGAGACTCCAAGTACCGCCAGAGCATTTCGTCGTTCCTAGTCTTCTGTGATGATGAAGCACTATGGTCATCGCCTGTAGTCGCCATCGACGGTTCAGAATGCACGGAGGGTGACTTTGATTTGCTAGTACTGGAGAGGTGCATGGATTCTGGGTCAACAAACAATTTCTCCACCGCATGCAATATCTTCGAATCATGAGGGCAAGTCAGTCGCTTACTCAGGCATATTGAGCGGTTCCAACTCCGTCGAGATTTTCACAACAAAAAGCTTCAGGACGACAAGTATACTCGTAAAGCAGATTTCCGTGGACTTCGGGTTGGAACGGGGCGACAGCTCCGTGGTGTCGATGAAGTCTTCCACTGCTTGAAGGGAAACGAGCAGAGTCGAGATAGTGCCGCGTTGCGACAAGAGACACCGGCCTACCTTCTTATCCTCCTACTTATATATCCATGTCGATAGACCATCTGAAAGACAACGGGGAGAAAGAGTCAAGGCTGGTATATCCGACAAGGGCTCAATCAGCCTCACAACGACCATTGTAGAGGTCTAGATGGAAAAACAAACCATCCCAGAGACAAGCGCGCAGTCTCTGGAAAGAGCAGGCAGCAGCCGTGTTGCGAAGAGGATGCGAGATTAGTAGATGACAAGCACTGTGCGTGCGATAGCGCGGTTGGCCTGCACGTCACAAGATTCACATCACAGCTTATGTTCGCACATCTCTGAGGCCTGCGATAACTTTGCGGTCAAAACTCACGCACGATGCGAAGCTCAGACAGCCCGGGTCGTTGTGGAAATGACCATGGCGGGTCCAGGCCCTCACGGATTGAAGGCATCGTGATTTTGATGCAAGGCAGGTGAAGATCTGGCATAGCCGCGGCCCTGAGGATAAGTGTTTGGGGTCGGTGGTGAGCAGGTTGTGCATCTTAAGAGAACAATGGGAAGAGAAAAACAAAAGAAGGCGAGTAGTCTAGAACTGGGAGATGGTCTAGATTCCAGGACGTAGTTAATGGATGGCATGGGGATGGTCTAGATTCGGGCAAAGAAATCTGGACCGGTCGGAGTTTGTGGAAAGAGGTGGGGGGGGGGGGAATCCAACAGGTGTCAGGATCGGAGAACTGGTACTAGTCAACCAGTTAAACCCACCGAACTTAAGGTAAGGCTGGGTGGGAGGAGGGGGAAGGGAACGGATCGGAAACGGGAGAGGATGAATCATGGAAGGGTGTTGGGTTGGGTTGGTGATGCACTAAGGTAGGTACGGCAAAGGCTGGGCGGGGTTGGCGGTGTGACCGGATGGTTTATTACCCCATCGGGTTCAACAACAGTATCTTGCGGAGTACACTTGGACCCTACTGAGATGCAAGGAGAACGTTTACACGGGAAACACCAGATGTGTAGATCAAGAGGGAGGATGAGATTAATTCATGATGCTTTTATCCCGGGTATATGAAGACTCCATCCAAACCAAGCCGTTGTTCCATGTTCGCCATCCACGACAGGAGAGGGGTCTCAGACCCAAGATAACCAAAAATAATTATCAACACAAAAGAAAGGGATCATAATATATTATACAAGAGATTCGTGACGGTCATAGCAGAGGAAGAGAAAGCCTCACGGGGGAGACGGTGAGAGGGTAAGAATTAGGCGTGAAAGGCTTCGGCTCCCTTGTTGTGTCGCCACATCCCATTAGGGACCACGTTCTGTTTCATCATGGCCAGCTCCTTCTGGAGCGCCTTGTTCTCCTCCTGCAATTCCTGCATAAAGGCAATAGCATTGGTGAGAATCTCGGACTTCTTCAGCGACGCTGATCCACCCTTGGTCGGCTTCTGGATGCCCCCGCTCATGGCCTTCTCCAAGGCAACGAACTTGGCGTTCATGTTGGTCCGGTACCGCTTCTCAATGATGTTGTGTGCGGCCCGCTTGGCGGCATTGCGGCCCGTTGCCGTGTTGGCCGGGCCTGTGCTGGCATTAGAGTCCCCAGACATGCTGCGTGTCGTTTTGCGGGTAGCGGTGGCCGGGGATGAGGGGGTGGGGAGAGGAGACACGCTGGCAGCGGGGTAGTCCTGCGGTGTAATTTCCGGACTGGACGACCATCGCTTCACCATATCGTCACGGGCCTTCTGCTGCTGGGTTGCAGTTGCAGTCCTGCGGCGGGTGGCACTCTTCACAGATCTCGACGCAGGCTTGGGCAACTCCATGGGCATTGAGTCCAGAGGAGAGACACGGCAAGTGGGGGACCACGACTGATCGTCACTTTCGAGGTCCTATCAATGAGAGGTTAGTCCTAGACAATTGAGAATATAGCCAGCGATCAACATACAGAAGAAAAGGAGCCGCAGGAGGCAGCATCCTCGCCCGAGTGGTTGGAGATGGTGAAGCCACTGATATCCGGAGGCGGGGCGAAGAAGTCGGTGGGAAAATCCTTGGGATCCAGAGTCATCATGTCATTGGACATCTCCAAAGGAAAAGTCTCGGGAATCATCGTGTTCAAGGAGAACAGATCAATAGCGCTGTCGTAGTTCCAGTTGGCCGTCAATGGGTCGGGACCCTTGGAGAACGAGTCGTGGGGACGAGAAAGTGGACTTGGCTGACTCAAGAACATCCGTTCGTCCTCCGGTAATGTGAAAGTGTCGGGTCTGGTGTATGCCATTGTTTACTGTTGGTGATGTGTCTTCGTCGAGATTGGGAAGACCGGTAATTGCGAGGTAGATCGGTGTAGGTAGTCGACGATGATCCAAAAGATATCAAAGTCGAGTGGCAAAGATTTGCAGATTGGATTGTAGTAGGTAGGAAGCTTCTGAATATAGAACCATGGATCTGAAGGATCATGAACAGAGAGGCGCTCGGGGAGGGGCTCTATATAAAGGCTGATGAGAATTTCAGGAGAAGCCGGTGTTGGAAACCGATCCCTAGACCAACCGAAGCCAATGATGTAATGGCAGGTAAAAAGAACCACAACAATTGGCAAGAAAAAAAATATAGATAGAAAAAAAAAATTAATATTAATTAGGATGAAGAAAAGAGAGGGGACAAGAAAAAAAAAAAGACGAGGCAGAGAACGCAGTGACCAGTCCTGTCAAACCGATTATTGCACAGGGCCGGTGAAGCACAGCCGAGATCACCCCAGCCGGATGCAGAGCATCCAGTCTTCCAGACTGACAGACTGACAGACTTGACTAGGTTGATGAGGGAGGAATGACTGACTTGACTGACTTCGACTCGGCCGGCTCCGAAAGAGAGCCGTCCGTCGGATCATCCATTGAGAAGCAGGGCAAAGTTCAGCAGTACCTCAGTCGGCAGTGATTTCCCCATAGTCTATTGAGGTCACTGGTACGGACAACCCTGTGACGGACCTGGCAGACAGCGACGGCAATGGCCGCCGTCGTACTGAGACGGGAGGCAAACTCAGGGCTATCCTTACTACAGTACGGAGTACTTTGTACTAGGTGACTTAGGGTGACTTGACTTACACTACCTTACCTCCTCAGTACAGTAGTACTTTGCCTCGAGGCTCGAGACTGTCTGAATGAGTATCTGGATTGTACTGCCAGTAGACTGTGGAGGAGGGGATAAAGGGAGGGGAGAAGGAGGGAGGGATCGGGTGAAAGTGGATCGATCGATGATGCACAACCGTTGAAACTTCTCAGCTCCAAGTGGGCGACAGTGGGCGACAAAGGGGAATCTAGACCTGATTGGTATCCATGGGAAACCTCGGGTGGACCCGTGATCGCCTAAAGGGGCAAAGTGGTTCTGCCAAGTTGTCCGGCGGCCGAGTCTCGGGTCCGAACAGTCGTTGTTCGGCCGGAGAGCAAACTGGTTTGAACTGTTTGAACGTCCTCCAGGCTGGCTGCTACGTGCACTCGTGCAGTCCATCGGAGTATCAGACTGGCAGATCCTGTGCAGACGTTGCAGGGGAACGAAGCATGCAGCGGCGGAATTGATTTTTTCCCCGAGGTCTGGTTTGTCTTGGGTTGATGCAAATCGTGTCTCTTGCCCCTTTGAGGTGATTTTATCCGTCATGACAACAGAGTCGATCTGATGCAGAATATTTCCTCATCCCTTATCACGGCAAAAGCCCGTCACAATGCCTGCAGTGCTGCGACCTGGCACGCAGCTCGGTAGTTGTCAAAGGGATCATGTTGAATGCTCTTCCGTAGTCGTGCCTCAGGATTCAAGGACATCCCCGGCGGAAATTGGCCGCAACAACCCGTTCCGCTTCGTTCTATGCCCGAGGGTGCTGTGATACGTACGACTACACGAAGCCTTCGGTGCCAGTCCAGATTGCAAGGCGATCTGTACGGAGCAGGATGGATGGAAATCTCGACTAATCCGAAACCCCCTCGTACTTCGTTTTCTTCGCCTACACGAGTCGGGAACCGATCTGTATCACATAGGCAGGATAATATATCGATCCATCCACCAATGGTGAGGCTACCATTGACAATTCGCCCCTGCGGTGCTTTTGCCCCTAGTCCGGTGCCCAACTGGTCGAGGTAAGGTACTGACTGTACCGAGAAGGCTCCAGGCTCCCTACCCTTCAGTTTTTTTTTTTTTTTTTTGGCTGCGTAGCTTTCAATGATGACCCATCATTGTCGTGGAAACATCCCTATGTCCATACCTAGTGCCTATTTTGTTATCATTCCCGATTCCTCTTTCAAGCGAATGAGACTCGAGATGATTGAGCATTAGTTTTCCGGGCGGGAATCAACTCCTGATTTAGATCACGGGGGCACACAGACCAAGGCAAGTGGATCGGTAACCGTCCGGGTGGAGCGAGTCTAGAGTCTAGACAAGATGGCGGCCATTATGACCAGCATATTATACATTCGGTTCAAACAAACACACGCACACATATGCGCGCGCGCACAAAAACAACAGCCAAAGCGGAGTCAGCGGAAATTTCATATCGATTTGTCTGTGCTGGTTGACACTGAAGGCCTCGCCTATGCTTAGCATTATTTCCCATTTCGCTATGCCCAGTGACATAATGATAATCAGCCCGATGATGAATGTGGTGTGTCAGGGTGGATTGCAGTGACGTCTCGGGAGTCCCGAGTCGGAACTTATCCTACCTAAGTTACCTACCCCTCCTGCCAGATCCTGATTAGGACTTTCGGGAGGGGCTCGGCTCCATTCTCGAGGCAAGGTACTCAACCAAGTCCCGGGTCTACGCATCGAACTCGTCACGTTGACAGTTTCACTCTGGAACCACCAACTCGGCATGGACCATACTTCGAAAGACTAATTAGTTCACTTAACATTCGTTAATTTACGGAGTAGGTAAGCTACATAGTAGAAAGGGAACTAGGAACTAAGCAAGCAAGCTATCCGACTAAAGCTCAACAGACGAATGAATCGACCTCGAAATCTCCGGCATGCACACGGCCCCTCCCCCCCCTCCCAAGCAGTGCGGACGGACGCTAGTAAATTTTTCGGCATCCAGCACTGGAGAAATAGCCTGGTCGAGTTAGAGTAAGGTTCAGGTCCCTCCACAGCGGAAGCGCCTTCACTAGCCAGGCGGACCGGATGCCGGATCCCAAGGGTTTGTTGCGATGCCACCCAGTGGTGTGATCCGGCATCTTCAGAACCCTTGAAGCTTTCCTCGTTTAGTGTCCTTCCCAAATCTGTAACGTGAGATCCCCAACCAAATCGAAGCCTCATTATTCTCGTCTCCGTCGGAAGAGACCGTCAACCTTGTCTGGAGAACAGAGCCAGCATGGTCCCAATCTGACACTCTTGTCCGAACTGCCTGATCGCCTCGTTCCCGTGACTCCGATGTCGTGTTGCCAGCAGCTGACTAGTATCATCTCCTTCGGTTGAGGTGTTTCCGGCACACGAGATGATCATGATACAGGGGTTTGAACGCAGAGGCATTGTTTCGAGCATACATTATCCCCCTCCAAGAATCCTGATAACTACTTAGTAGCTATAGTAGCTACCTAGTACTGGCCAGAGTTTTCTTTATTCGGTCGAAACTCGGATATGTCAGTCGGGGTTGTCAGCCCTATGCCTCTCTGCTACCACTCACCATTCCAGAATTACACGCTGCGTCATTGACCGGTGCTACTCGGGCCCTTAGCGGCAGGACAAGGTTAGACTTTAGCTTCACAACGCCAGCCCAGAACGGTAACCCCGCAGTGCAGCCACCCGATTTGTTCTTTGGCTAATCTTACCTTATTACAGATTCTAATCGACTAGGCACGGGAATGGGTATGCGATCAGAGGCAGCTGCAAGATCACCGCCAGCAGATCCAAGCTCGAGATCTCAGCAGCTTGTCTCCAGGCTGGTCTTTGACCTCAGTCTGCACCCAGCCAGCAGGTGCATGGGCAAGACAGGCGAAGTCAGCCCGTGTTCCGGAGTCCCTTCAACGCTGAGATCATGCCTCACCTTCCACCTGGACGGCTAGAGCTAGGCTACGTTTCGACATCTGCAAGCCTCGACCGTCATCGAGTTCCACAAGCACTGACCATCGCCAGAGTTAGACCCGCGGGACCGGACCGGACTGCCTAATGCCTAATCTCTACGTTAGATCTGCCGTGCAGGTCAGCGCACCCCGGCTCTGGACCACCCGACGGCTGGTGTTGACGTGGGGGTAGTGCCGTGACAAGTGGCCGGAAGAGATTATTCCCGCCTGACGGCAAAGGCGGTCGGTTGTTGTTCGCGGGGGAGGGGGAGATCGGGGGAGGATCTTCGACCCTGCAAGCACGTCACGAGCCCACAGGGGCATCGCTTCCTGATAAACTCTGTATCCTGTCTGCAGGGTCAAATGCCGACCGAGAAGAATATCGGTAAGTCTCGTCCGTCGCCGTCGCGGGTAGCGATCCAGGGACCGAAGCTTACCCGCCAATTACCCCGCTGTGCAGAATTCGAGCGGTCATGACCTGCGTCATCGAGATTCTTGCGAGAAATATGGTTTTATGATATTTCAAAGAATGATCTCTAGTATCTGCGTCCAGCCAGCGACTCGCCACTATTATACAATGCCTGGATCGTGGTTTCGAAGCTCTCCGGCTCGCGACCCAGGATTTGGCCCAGGAGCGGCGACACGACCGCCGTCTCCCCGCGCCGAATGGCATCCCACGCCGTGGCCCACTCCCTCGTCAAATCAATCCCATGGTAGAAGAACTTCTTCCCATGCTGCGGCAGCTTGACAAAGTCATCCATGGAGATCTCCCGGATCTTGAGGGGTTTCCCGATCACCCGACCCAGGATCTCGACCGTCTCCCGCAGCGAGACCTCCCGCGGGCCCGTGAGCAGCAGCACGCGGTTCACGTACGGGAACTCGCGCGGGTTTTTCGTGTAATCGACAATGAGCTTCGCCGTGGCTTCGCCCAACTCGTCGCGCTTCACCCAGGTCACCCCGGGCCCGTCCCCGGCATGCGGGATGGCCACCTCGTCCGCCGGGTGGTGGAGGTCGAGCCAGCTCGTGTAGATCGGGAACGACTCCGAGTAGATCCCCTCCCGCACCGCCGTATAGGTAGATTGAGTACTAGATGACGAGGACTGCAACTCCGCCAGATACCGTTCCGTCTTGAGGTGCGCCTTCATCACGTGCGCCACGCTGCTCTTCTCCAGATCCCCGGCAAACCCGAGCGACGAGTAGAAGATGTGCTTCACGCCGCTGCGGCGCGCCGCGTCGATGGCGTGTTTATGTGCCTGCCCCGGCCTTTAGCTTAGGTTTCTCCAGTAGTTGCAACGCCACGGCCCTCTGTAGGAAACCAACCTCGAACCGAAACTGGATCTCAATCGACGCATAGGAGATCAACAGCAGCACATCGACCCCGTCGAAGACGCGGTCCAGGGTGCTCGGCTCCTCGTAGTCGGCCCGGCGGACGGTCGCCCCCGCGCGGGCCAGCTCGGCCAGGCGGTCGTTGTCCGGCTTCCGCGCCACGAGGATCAAGTCGGACGCCGGGACGAGCTTGACGAGGTGGTTGACGGTGCTGGTGCCCAGGGCGCCGGCGGCGGGGAAGACTCCGATCGTGGTCATTTTCAGGGGAGGTGTCGATGCGATGACGTAATGTGCTGGTTTCTTCGGTGGTTTTGGGGAGGATTCGAGATTTTAGGAAATGAGCCTGGCAAGAATCCTTTACAGCAGGTCGTTGGAATTCTGTAGGATTTATATCGAGCCGGTCATAGGTTGGTCAGAACTGCCTTCTCCGAGGCGTGGGTGAAATCTGGTTGTTTCGGGAGAGCGGGTGCCAAGATGTCAAAAGAGGTTTAATGGGGATCGGTGCAGCTTACAAATCAGTCGTTCTCGCGAATTTTTGGTATAGGATGGATCTTTGACAAATACACGAGTTGCGATTTCTTTCCCTGGGCTTCGTGCCGACGCTGGAGATAAGGCTGTAGAAGACTAGTTTATCTGCTGGGAGCAAGCGTCAGGATGTGCACTGGATGCTGTTTACATGCGGGACATATATTTCTCGTCGGTGTTGAAGCACAACCGGAACAAATGGCCTCTGAGTTACTGGGGTAGACCCTCTGAGGTTGATTTGGGGATAGGAGTATCACGAACTGAGATTAAGTTAAGTCTCTAGATCCCTCACCCCTGCCTCAACTGCCAGTCGATGAAGTAGTGTGTGTGCAATCCCAGTATGGTTTAAGTATACCAGACGACGGGGGGTGTTCCAACACGCCAGCAAATACTCAGCGAATGAATTGCAACCCAAGAAAATACCTCTAAATCCGCAATGCTTCGAGCTCACGACATTGATGTTTCCACAGCATCCCCAACTCTCCAATGACGAAAAGAACAAAACCGGAAATTCTAGTTCTCAATGCGCACACCGCCAGTCGTGCCGACCATGATATACTGTAAATACGTAGTTGCTGTCCGCCCGGCAGAAATGTCTAGAGTCTCGGAAGGCGGTGGGCTATAGTCCTTGAGTATTACTATCGTTCTAGAACTGTCCTTCCTGCTGGCTGTTTTACTTCAGGATCATAAGAAATGTCCTGGGCAAGGGTTCCCATTCTCCAAAATGCGCTATTCCTGGAAAAGGAGGATTTGAGATGTGAACCATGGTTGTGGTGTGGTCAATAGGTCTTGTATTGGAGATTGGTCTCTCGCTTATTCTGCTTGTGTACATGCTCAGTGCTTGGAGGCTTGTTTTAAGGTAGCGATTAGTGGCTAGGTATAAGGCTCTTTCCGCGGTGGCGGTATCTGGATTTGTGACTGTAGGGGTGTCCGACGGGCTACCATCGAGGGGCTGCATTAGTTGTTCTCCCGTGCCATACACTCTACGAGGCCGCGTGTAATATGATCGAGAGAATACCCAGTTCACCACAATGCTTGATTCAGGCTGCAGGACTCCGTGTACGAGCCAGCGTCTGAGATATACCCACAACTCGCTCCACGAGAGCAGCGTACGCTTCAATCCATCCCATCACCAGTCAACAACC